GGCACAGTGAGCGGCGAACCCTCCGCCGCTTTGCAGGGAGGGGGGGGAAGCCCGCGCAGCCACCAGCGGGGGAAATCGTGTTATTCCGGGGACGGTCGTAAAATTCAAAAAACGTTCCGTTAAAAAAAACCATGTTATCGCAAAAACGTGTTAAGCGGGCACGTGTTAAATGAGGAATTACTGAACCGTGAAACCACTACTGAGCTCTGTTTCAGACCACACACAGGGGCTGGTTTTATTTAATACGTTTAACCCATACCCCTGAGAGCAGACTGGACGCCCGCAGCAAGATGCACCTCCAATTTCAAAGGAGCTCTTCAAAAGGAAAAAAGTTGGGCTCTTGCCCTCCTCCGCCCAGCCCTCCTGTTGCGCTGTGTTAGGATGCACAGACAAAGCCCGAAAGAGTTTTATGAACACAATGGGTTTTCTCTGCCAGCTAAGTTACATTAGAACAACAGATCTTCTGAATGGACAACTTGGGAAATTATGATGTCACAAGAGGCAGAACACCAAAGGAACTGGGAGGGAAAAGGAGGCTTAGGCAGACTGCTGCTAACTTAGTCGTAAGGGGATTTTTGCGTAACATCAGCATTTTGGTGAAAGGGGCTTTCTGATAAAGGTTCAATGCCAGCAGACAACTGAGAAGCCTAAAGAGCATGGTAGCAAACTGAGAAAGGCTAAAGCCAACATTCTCACCCTTTCTAAGTAAAAACGTAAGAGCGTTTCAAGATTTGTTATACAGCATAACAAACACCATTTTGTGTGTTCTTTGCAGGCCACTTTTAAAATGAACCAACAAAAATCACCTTTGGCTGACATTGTTTACATCCTGCTGTTCCGATGCCCAAGATGACTGTCACCGAGGCTACGTCTAGACTATGGACTTCTTGTGCAAGAAACTGTTTTTGGAAGAGATCTTCCGAAAAAACTTCTTGCGCAGGAGAGCATCCACACTGCAAAAGCGCATTGAAAAAGTGATGCACTTTTGAAAGTGTCCAGACTGCCTGGATGCTCTCTCACATGTAAGCTGTGATTGCTATGGACAGAATGGCCACCAGGATACCTGTGCTTTTCCCTCTTCCCTCTTCTTCCAAAAAAACCTCCCTCTTCCCCATCCACACACGCCTTTTTGTGAAAGAGCTCTGTCAAAAGAACGTGCTTGTAATGTGGACATAACTCAGGTTTTGTCGAAAAAACAGCCATTTTTCCAACAAAACTCTGTAGTCTAGACACATCCTGACATGGCAAAAAACAATTAGCTATCCCCCCCTCCCCATTTACTTTGGTTTACTCTGACTATTTGACAGCACATTGCTTATAGGCACTTTTAGCTCCCCAAGTCTGTGTGCATAGCAACTTGAAAAATTCAACTTTTGAAATGAGAAACATACTATTTTCAGACATTATTTGGCAAGGAGATTTTGAGGCAGATGTCGAAACTGACATTATTTGTATCTCATTTTACACTGACTACTTCTTATTTTATAGTGTGAAGAGGGAAACATCTCTGCTCAAGGAGCCCAAAGAGATGAGTCAAAGAGAAAACTGCAAACACTAAACTAGGTGTTTCTAAGACAGGACACTGCCATCTTAACACACAATTTTGCTTGGCCCGAGGACAAGATCAAAGCATCAAGTTGTACAATTCTGAGGACTGTTTTATATATACCGGAATACTGGATGCTGCTATTTGCTATTCAGTTTTCTATTTTTCAGGGTTGTTTTCAGGAATTTTTCAGTTGTACATAGATGCTCAAAATTGTGTGTGCACGGGGCAGGGATGTTAAATTTAGTTTAATCAACTAGTCGATGGATTTTCCTTTGATTAGTCAATAAGCGGGGGAGCTGCAGCGGGGTTAGCTCCCAGCCCTGGAAGCTAACACTGCTTTTTAAAGGTATGAAGAGACAGCTGATTCCTGTCTCGCGCCGGGCCCTCCGGCTGCACTTCTGCTTTTTAGATGTATTAAGAGCCTACAGGCACAGTGTCTGGGACCAGGCATGAGCTGGGAATCAGCTGATTCCCAGCTCACGCCCGGTCCCTGCTACCACCCTGCCTCCCTTGGAGACAGTGCTGGGGAGAACTGGCTTTTAAGCCACCTCCCCTCACCCCCCCCTTGCTGCCATTGATAAGAGGCAGCAGGGGGGAGCAACTAGTCGAGGGCCTAGTCAACTATGGGATAAGCTTTTGCTTATTGGATAGCAGACTAGTCACTTACATCCCTAGTGTGGAGGGAAGGCGGTACCGAGTAAAATATGTTATATGCAATCACAGATATTATAGCAACGTAATGAGTAATCTCTTTATAAAGTCCTCTAGTGCACTTGAACATAATAGAATAGTAATAGAGATGTAGCCGTGTTAGTCTAATACTGTTCGAAGCAGCACTACGTTCAAGTGCACTACAGAATGTTTAGTGTGCACCAGCAGGTCAACACAGACTAATTAGGGTTCAACCCAGTAGTGAGCATTAGAAACCAAACCATCACAGTCTGCATTACCCACCTGTGCAAAGAAGATACACTTCTGATGTAGTTCCAGATAAATCCCTGATTTCTTCTTTTTTGGGAGGGAGGTTGGGAGTTTATCAATTAAAACTGACAATCAGATGCAATAGAAGTTGGAGAGAGGTCACAGAAGTGGCCCTGCAAATTAGAACGTCGTACAACACCATCTCTCCCGGAAAGAGACTTTCAGACAATGGAGCCGCGGTTGCTACATCCGAGGACAAGAAATACGCGTTGTCCACAAGACAGCAAGCGCACAAGTTTCCTTACCCAGACCCTACACTGCGACGGAAGGTCATTTCTGATTGCACCTTCCTCCAATAGATAGCTCCGGCCTTTCCTGGCACACCCACCCCCAGAAGGACGTAATGGTTTGGAGGACAGTGTCTCAGGCAAGGGCTTGCTCCTTCGGGCCTGTTCCAATGTGGCGGAGGCCCTCAGTAAACCTGCCAAGAAATCAGGGATGACCAGGCCCGGGGGACATGTGGCCAGGTACCTCGTTGTCATGGGGACAGCACATTACTAATCTCTTGGGACCTGGCAGGGCCCTGAGGACCCCCACCCACGCACCTTCTTCTCCCAGATCTGCAGGGGCCCGGCCCCCCCACGCACCTTCTTGTCCCAGATCTGCAGAGGCCCGGACCCCACCCACGCACCTTCTTGTCCCAGATATGCAGGGGCCCGGCCCCCCCACGCACCTTCTTGTCCCAGATCTGCAGAGGCCCGGACCCCACCCACGCACCTTCTTGTCCCAGATATGCAGGGGCCCGGCCCCCCCACGCACCTTCTTGTCCCAGATCTGCAGAGGCCCGGACCCCACCCACGCACCTTCTTGTCCCAGATATGCAGGGGCCCGGCCCCCCCACGCACCTTCTTGTCCCAGATCTGCAGAGGCCCGGACCCCACCCACGCACCTTCTTGTCCCAGATATGCAGGGGCCCGGCCCCCCCACGCACCTTCTTGTCCCAGATCTGCAGAGGCCCGGACCCCACCCACGCACCTTCTTGTCCCAGATATGCAGGGGCCCGGCCCCCCCACGCACCTTCTTGTCCCAGATCTGCAGAGGCCCGGACCCCACCCACGCACCTTCTTGTCCCAGATATGCAGGGGCCCGGCCCCCCCACGCACCTTCTTGTCCCAGATCTGCAGAGGCCCGGACCCCACCCACGCACCTTCTTGTCCCAGATATGCAGGGGCCCGGCCCCCCCACGCACCTTCTTGTCCCAGATCTGCAGAGGCCCGGACCCCACCCACGCACCTTCTTGTCCCAGATATGCAGGGGCCCGGCCCCCCCACGCACCTTCTTGTCCCAGATCTGCAGAGGCCCGGACCCCACCCACGCACCTTCTTGTCCCAGATATGCAGGGGCCCGGCCCCCCCACGCACCTTCTTGTCCCAGATATGCAGGGGCCCGGCCCCCCCACGCACCTTCTTGTCCCAGATATGCAGGGGCCCGGCCCCCCCCCACGCACCTTCTTGTCCCAGATCTGCAGGCCC